ATAAGGACAGCGCTCAAATTAACTCAGTTCTAGAAAGAAAAGGTCCTATCTTGCTATCAGGTTTTACATTAGCTAGTAGGCTGCGTTATAGTACTTCCTTAAAGAACAAATAACTCTCTATTGTGCGAGAGTTTTGGCCCCTCTCACAAAGAGTCACAGAGTCATATAGGTCTTCTGGCCCATTGATACGCCAACAATAGCTACCACTGAAGGTGCGCTAATCCCAATTTCCTGCACTTGTCTCATATCCTTGAGTGTGATGATATTTCAAGTGCTCATCCAAAATTTCTTTCAAGGTTGTAAGGCTCTGGTCTCCACAACCTTCCCAGATAGTGCATTCCAGATTGCCATCACCCTTTGAGTGAAAACATTTTTTTCTCAAATCCCCTCTCCTGCCCCTTATCCTAAAACATTGCCCCTTTGTGATTGACCCCTCAGCCAAGGAGAATAACTGCTCTCTATTCACCTTGTCCATACGCCTCAATCTTATACACCTCAGTCGAGTCCCCACTCTAAAGAAAACAATCCAAGCCTATCTAGACTTTCCTTAGAACTCAATTTCTCTGTCCCAGGCAACATCCTGGTGACCCTCCTCTGTACAGTTGAAACTCAGTGTGAAAGATGGACATAAATCTTTGTTTCATATACAGCACTCTTTTCTAATTCAACAAACTCTACAAAAACCAAAAATGCACCAGATCCAGGCCAAATAATGGGATAAAATTTGGGGTTAACCCTCCTAACCACGGTGAGGGATGAAACAGCAAAATAGTTTGGTAAAATTCAGATACTGGACATACTGTTACATGCAAGTTCCACAAATATAATTCCTTCTTGTTAAATGAATACAGTAGAGCATGCAACAAAACACGAACATTCCTATACATCTTCGGAACATACTCCGATTCTGGGCTCATTTAGGGATATGATACAGATCACAAGCAACAATAAATTCCCCTCAGACTCACACTCACTTCTGTAACACTCTTCTTTTGTGGGTGATAGACTATTTACAGGCTATTGTAACTGCTCCTGCTGGTGATAAGATGTAGCCAGGTATACTGCTCCTAGCACAACCATGTGGACTAAGCACCATTGGGATCTATTAGTCAAACAGTGTGACATACTGCTTGAGAAAGTACAGAGAAACAGAGAAAATAGATGCATAAGTAGGCTATTTGGCCCTTCGATCATGATCCATCATTCAAAATGACCATAGCTGATCTTCCAATTCAGTATAAAAGCCAAAAGAGCTGCGGATGCTGTAAATCAGGAACAAAAACAAAGTTGCTGGAAAAGCTCAGCAGGTCTGGCAGCATCTGTGAAGGAGAAAACAGAGTTAACATTTCGGGTCCAGTGAACTGTTCTGAGGAAGGGTCACCAGACCCAAAACGTTAACTCTGTTTTCTCCTTCACAGATGCTGCCAGACCTGCTGAGCTTTTCCAGCAACTTTGTTTTTCTTCCAATTCAGTATGCTGTTCTTGCTTTCTCCCTAAGGGCAAATGAACAAATTGCAGGAGCAGGCAATTCAGCCCCTTGAGCCTGCTGTGCCATGCGATATATGGATCAGAGTCAGATTGAAATCTTCTGCTGCCAACATCATACAATCTGGCAGAAAAAGAGATGGTACAGAGGATGAATTTGGTAAAATAATGCAACCCAACCTAGCTCAGAGAAGCAGAAAGGCTGACGTTTCGGGCCTAGATTAGGCCCGAAACGTCAGCCTTCCTGCTCCTCTGATGCTGCTTGGCCTGCTGTGTTCACCTTGTTATCTCAGATTCTCCAGCATCTGCACTTCCTACTATCTCCAGAGCTCAGAGAAATCAGGATATTCAAACAAACCAAGAAAAACCATTGTTATAAATATTTTTACTGAGATGAAACAAAGGTTGAGCCAACTGGAAACTGATGGATAAATAGTTAGTAGTTTCTTCCCTTTTAAAACCCTTGCTCAAAGACAGCAGTGAAACTGTATTTTCTCCAAATGTTACTAACGGCTTGCTAAAATCCAAGTGCAGCAGTTCATTCCACCCCCAGCTTCCAAATGTATTTCAAAGCTTCATTCGGAACCAGGTGCAGGGGCAAGAGCAAGAGATGATGCTTCATGTTATGCAGAAGTACTGTGTGCTAAAATAGAACACACTGCAAAATGTGTGAATCCACGCTATTGAAGAGTGGGTGGTAATTAATATGAAATATAACATTAAAGCAGAATCAAATGTAGCTAAAGAAAAGATGGAGATAAGCTTCCCAAAATGCTTTGTCGGCAAATGTATTCCACTGTGTGGGACTCAGTTATGCCGATCCTACCAATTAATCTCTGCTAAATTAATTCACAGAAACATTGAAACTAAGAGCAGCTGTTGGCCAATCAGCCCTTCGATCCTGCTCTGCTATTTAATATGATCATGACTGATACTCTATCTCTACACCTCATTTCCCCTTCCTCTTCACACCCACTGATAACATTAACATTTGCAAAATGGTTATATTCAAAAAAGAAATTGCTAATGACCCAGCCTGTACAGCCTTCTGTGACAGCAAATTGTACACCCTTTGAGTGAAGAAATGTTTCCTCTTCCAAGTTCTAATTGGCCTAATCTATTTCCTAAGAACATGATCCCTGGTTCTAGACTCCCCACCCAGGGAAATATTCTCCCTGTATTTAGTCTGTCCAGCCATGCTAGAATTTTATATGTTACAATAAGATTCCCTCCCATTCTTCTAAACTCTAGTAAATACAACCCCAGTTGAACCAATCTCTCCTTATACAACAATCTTGCCATCCCCAGTATCAGCCTGGTGAACATTCACTGTACTCCCTCTACGGAAAGTGTATCCTCTCTTCGAGATAGTAAGAACTGCCGATGCTGGAGTCTGAGATAACACAGTGTGGAGCTGGAGGAACACAGCAGGCCAGGTAGCATCAGAGGAGCAGGAAAGCTTTCAGGGAGACCTGAAACATCAGCTTTCCTGCTCCTCTGATGCTGCCTGGCTTGTTGTGTTCCTCCAGCTCCACACTGTATCCTCTCTTAGGCAGGGAGGCCAAAACTGTACAGTGCCCCAGGTTTGGTCTCACCAAAGTCCTGCATTCCTGCAGTGAGACATGCCTACTTCTGAACACAAACCCTCTTGTAATAACAGCCCAACATACCTATGTCTTCCTAATTGTTTGCTGCAGCTGCCTGTTTACTTTCATTGACTGGTGTACAAGGACATCCAGATCTTTTTGAACATCCATATTTCCAAAGGTATCACTATTTAAGTAATCCTCTGATTTTCTGTCTAAGTTCACATTTACCCACGTTACACATCACTTCCATATCTTTTCTCACACATTCATGTATTTTAAATTTTGCCCACAAGCCTCTTGCTTGGGACCATATAAAAACCCTCCCGAAAGTCTTCTTCTCCCTTCTCTGTTCTAGTGGATACATTCTCAAAAAACTCCAGTAGATTAGTTAAGTACGATTTCCTTTCCATAAACCCAGGCTGACATTGTCTAATCACATTAATATTTTCCAAGTGTTCTGTTATCATTCTTTTATAATAGATTTTAGCGTTTTCCCCATGAGTGCTGCTTGCCAACTGGTTGTAATTCTCCTTTTCCTCTCCTTATTTTTTTAAATCGTGGGGGGTGGTTTTTGCCTTTTGATCTGTAGGAACTGCTCCACAGTCGATAGAATTTTGGAAGACTATAAGGTATATAACAGCAGAATTAGGCCATTCAGCCCATCGAGTCTGCTCCGCCATTCAATCATGTCTGATGACCACCAATGCATCCAATATTTCCAAGGCCACTTCATTTCATACTCTGGGATGTAGGTCTCCAGGCCCTGATGATTTGTTAGTGTTTAACCTCATTTCATTCTCAGTTGGACAGCAACTGGGGCACTGCAACTGGCCTGAATGCACTTGGGTTGAGAGCTGAGGGGTGGTAGAAGGTTGGGGAAAATTAGTTAAAAATTCATACTCTTGGTCATTATCCAGTGCTACTTGCTGGAATGGTGTCCATGTTAACTTCAGGTGAAGACCAGTTTGAGCTCAGCTCAGTGTAGAATGCAAACAGCCCCGTGACCTGGCTCCCACACTGATGGTCTTACTCCAGTCCAGTGCCTCCCTCAAATAGATGTCCTTCATATACAGCACTGGGCAATGATCAGCACCAGACTATTCAGAAAGGAGAGGAGAAGAGGAGAACTGAATCCTATCTAAGCCAGCAGGAGTCACAAGATTGTGATTGAGCAGAAATCCACATTATTTTTGATTCCCCTCCTAATTTCTGAAGACTTATAACATGAAACTCCCTGCAAAACTCCACTGCAAAAATTAAACAGTTTGGTACAGTTTGCAGGCTCGTATTTTATAACAACCAGTATATAACCAGTACCACCTAACGCTGTGTCCAATTTCAAGTTATATGATTCATCAATATCCACCAAATATTTTCCTGAACAATGCTCTTAACTATCAGTCTCAGAAACTACAGCAGACCTAAGTCCATGGGGGTCAACACACCTTTCCTGCACCTCTCCTATGCCATATTGCCTGGATCTTTGAAATGTTTAAAAGCAGCAGATATGTACAGAATAGTACAATGTCTCAACTTTTAGTAGCAATGCCATTTAAAGACATGTTGCTACTTCTTTATGGAGTTCTTGCACAGTTTTACCTATTGTAATATAGTCACTTCTGCACTTTTTTTCCTTGTTCTTGTGTTTAGTCCAATGTTAATGTACATAGCTATTTTATGTGTGATCATGGATCCATTGTGTTGTCTACAAACCTACTAAAAGGAGTTGTGAAATACAACAATGTCCTTTCAAATTTACTGGGTCACTGTATTTAAAACCAGACTATGGATGTATGGAATCAAGGAATTTTTTTTTCATATGTCACGACAGAATAATGGTCAGTTCTGTTCACGAAAACTGCCCGTGGACGAACACTGTGTGAATGAATAACAAAAGTAATGAGGGCTCTGACAGCAAGAGCTTACCCAGCCTTCAAAGGTCTTCGTGCCATTTTTCAGCAGTTCCTCGAACTGTAGGGTACAATTCGCCACAAAATCATCGTATCCGATGGGGGTGTCGTGGAAAACCGTCAGTTCAATCTCACTGCTTCGCCAGATCTGGGTGCTGAAGTCCTCGTTAAAAGTAGGCTGGCTGGTTTTCTGTTTAGTGACTGTCTGTCCGACCCTCCGGTTATCCACCTTCACCATCACATACGGATCCAGTAACTGGTAACTTTTGCTGGATATTGAATGCCTGAGGGCACATCGGGTTGGTTTCAGATCCACAGCCTCCCCGATCTTCACTTTCAGAGATCCACTGAAAACCACCATTCTTGAAGATTCAGTCCGCTCTGTATATCACAGGGAACGGTCCTTCTGATTGCAACACTTCAGAAAGTCCGGAGAGATAGTTACAAGCAACAAAAGTACTGAAAACAATACTTTCAAAAAAAAAACCCTAATTTAATCGTGGAGGGCAGTTTAATTACAGTGACAGAGAATCTGGGGTAGATTTCTCATTTGCCAGCATCTCTACCCGGCAAAACTAGTCCTGAAGCAGGAAACATTGCAGGTGTCTAGAATTTCGGGACACCTCTGGAAGTCCTTACTGATTGAAGTAGGTTTCTTTGGAGTTGGTTCTTTACTGAGCACCGGACACTTTCGATTTCTCAGATTGAGATCTTCGCAGGCACCGAAGGAAGATGAGGATTTTGAGTGACCCTCGAGTGATACCGGATTCCCTGAGACTCGATCTGTGTGAACAGGAGCCACTTGTTATTTCAGACTATTTGGGTACTGAGAAGCAGGAAGCAATCAAACGTCAAATTTCCGTGTGTCAATTGCTGAAATTCTCTTTAAAGCAACACAAGCTGCTAGAGCTTTGCAATTCTCTAAGGGGTGCACTTCCCAATTGGGGAAGAGATCTTTAGTCATAAACCTTTCTTACCACTTTTGCTGTTTAAAAAAACTCAGATTTAGGCTTACACTATTTTACTTTGATCGCTTGCAAAGAATTCTGGGGGTTGTAGTCTTCCCTTACTTTTGTTACGGGCAAGATTGAATATTCGAAACTACAACTCCCAGAAAACCGAGCGCATAAATCAGCAGACCTAGCTTTGATTGTGATTGGCTGGGAGTCCACAATATTTGGCGACCAGAGGCTGAAGTACCAATTGCATCGACCTACAGGTGACTCCCAGTCCATCCCCTGCATTGAGGGAGTGGCTCCATTGCAACTTCACCTGTTGAGGAGGGTTTATGTTGTCAGGTGTTGAGTGAGAAAGGCAGGTTTTGTGTGTGTCCTGCTTTGTTCAGTGTAAGGAAAAGCTTTGTACGTGAATGCACTTGGCATTCCAAACGAAACAGACGAAATGATAGAGTGAATAAGTACAATCTGATAACCATTACAGCGACGTAGGAGAATATAGACTGCGAACAAAAGCAGAAGTTGCTGGAAAAGCTCAGCAGGTCTGGCAGCATCTGTGAAAAAGCAGAGTTAACGTTTCGGGTCCGGTGGGACGTGAATATTGAAAGATACATAATATTTAGGAAGATAGGATAGTGGGGAAAAGGTGACTTGATTAATTATTGTATTAGCACAATAAAGATGTTTGACCGAAGTGAAGATGTAGAAGCAGTTGGGATAGAGATGTGAAATTGCCATAAAGGCAAGAAGTCCCTTGTGGGAGTAGTATGTAGAAATCTACCAGTAACCATAGGGTAGGACAGAGTATAAAGGAAGAAAGAAATTGGGGGTTTTGTCAGAAAAGTACAGCAACAATAATACAGCATTAGTCAACAATGTAGACTGGAAAAATCAAATCAACAAATGTAGGCTAAGTGGAGTGCTCGTGGAGCATTTAAGTATGGTTTCTTAAATCAACACATTCTGGAGTCAACTAGTAAAGCAGACTTTACTGCACCGGGGAGCTGATGGCCTAGTGGTATTATTACTGGACTGTTAATCCAGAGACCTAGATAATGTTCTGGGGACTGGGGTACAAATCCCACTATGGCAGATGGTGGAATTTGAATTCAATAAATATCTGGAATTAAGAATCTAATTTTGACCATGAATCTATTGCTAATTGTAGGAAAAACCCATCTGGTTCACTAATGTGAAACTGCTATCCTTCCCTGGTCTGGCCTACATGTGACTCCAGACCCACAGCAATGTGGTTGACTTTGAACTGCCCTCTGGGCAATTAGGGATGGGCAATAAATGCTGCCTGGCCAGCAATGCCCTCATCCCCTGAATGAATAAAAAAAACTTAAAAACAAAAATTGCTGGAAAAACTCAGTGGGTCAGACAGCGCCTGTGGAGGAAAAGCAGAGTTAATGTTTTGGCCCTTCTTCAGAAAAGTTCTGAAAATAGTATTAAACTCAAAGAAAAAAAAATCAATTATGCAATGATAACCCAGACAGAATATAGCAAAAAAAATTCTGCCATCCTTACCTGGCCTGCCCTACATGTCATTCAAGACCCACATACTCATAAGTCTTTGGAATCCACCACCTCAAAAGATGGTAAAAGAACAGTCTTTGAGTATCTTTAGGATGGATGAAGATAGATTCTTGATTACTGAGACAGTGAAAGGTTAGCCCGATCTGTTTGAATGGCAAAGCAGACTTGAGGCAGCAAAGGACCTCCTCCTATTCCCAATGCGTATGTCTCTATATATGTTTACTAATAGCATTGTGCTCATTGGATTAGCCTGCTTCAAGGTGATTTTAAGTGGCATTGTTGGAGGAAGGCTTGGACTGTCAAGTAGCATTTTATGTTACGTGTCATTTTCCCTGTGGAAAATGATGTAACCAGAGTCAATAGGTGGTACACCCCCCATAACACTGAAAATGTTCAGAAAATTCAAAATAATTGCTTACTATCTATCAATGAAACTATACTCTTTTAAAATTGATCACGGGAGGTCGTGGCTTACTGGCAATGATATTAACTAGCAAGCTAGAGGCTCAAGCTAACCTGGTCTATCCAAATGTGACTCCAGACCCATACCAATGTGATTGAGTCTTAACTACCCTCTGGGCAATTAGGGATGGCCAATGAATGCTGGCGTAGTTAGCAAGACCTACATTCCATGAACAAATTTAAAAAAAGTAAATTCATGAGTCCATAAATAACCATATTAAACCCATTGACCTTCATTTCATTTCATGGTTTCTGCCTACTAGACTAAGTAAATGTTAATAAATAATAACTCACCACATCTGCAGGTCATAAATAACAGGGTTAATCAGAATTTGTACAGTGAAATCTGAGGTTTTTGTTTTAGATGAAGACCATTGCGAAATTTCTCAAATGTTTGCAGCACCATTGTACTCTGATGACGCTGCAGACATTTCAGAAATAGTGCCCTGTTATGTTAAAATAACCATATAAAGTAGACATTCAAGGGGCTCTTGTGGTGAAGTGGTAGTGTCCCCACCTCTGAGTCAGTATACCTGTGTTCAAGTCCCACCTGTTCCAGCAGTGTGTAATAATAACATCCCAGAACAGGCTGATTCAGGGTAAACAAAAAAGTAGAGGAAAAATTCAGTAAGACCATTCATGATGAAGTATTTGTCTACCTGATTGACAAAAACACATGGAGAAACACTTATTTTATATTGTAACTGTGACACTAACATATATGTGAGAACTAATGTGTATTTTCAACAGGAAAGTTTAGCTAAAGTGGAAGTCATTTTGGAATGTAACTGCATTAGGTGCCCCCTGTATAGATAGTTAAATTGATCACTGTTTGCTTTTCCTCATAGTTAGTGTTTGAGACATCTATATTAGATCATAGCCCATCCCAGCTCATCCCATTCTTTAGGCTTGATTGTACATGTTAAGACATGCACACTGTGCGCAACTCCTTTCCAGTACATGTTTATATTGTCTGTCCTGAAGTTATTGGGCAACTGTCAGGATTAGTTTAAATGCTAACTGGTATTATTTTAAATGAGGTTTACTATCGGCGTAGCGGAAATGCAGAAGCTGGAGTCAGAGTCAATACAGTGTGGAGCTGGAGGAACGCAGCAGGTCAGGCAACATCAGAGGAGTAGGAGAGTCGACTTCTCGGGCCTAGGCCCTTTATCCTATCAGCATGCATGAGATAGGAGGATTTGAAGATGCTGTTACTCACCTCTAGTTAAACTGCTGCAAGTGTATAAAAAGACAACTGGCAAGTTAACCTTTTCCAGGTGATGGTGAAATCTACAAAAATGTTCAATTAAATTCAGTGAGCACAGATAGCATCATCAGAAAAAGTGGCTCACACCAAATATTTCATCCAACAGAATCTGGGTTGAAATTGACAGGCAGGGTTCAAACTGAAGCTCCCTATTTGATGGCATCTGTTAAGAGATTAATGAGATCCTTCTTACAAACTCTTCAAACTGGTTTTTAAGATTATATCACTAAATTAACAGAATAAACAGAAATATTTAAAAGAAAAGAAATGATATTAAAGACAATTCTTTACAATGATTTAATCTTTCAATGAATTTTGAGTCACATTAGATCCTTTAAGATTTAAGGGACATTTTATTTTGATAACTGATTTAGCAGTAATTTATTTTGTTTTATAATGCATGCTATGAGTTATCCCTGACATCAGCAATCCAGACAGAGGAACAATGGGAACGTTAGGATTATTTTGAGGATTTCAAAATCTTAACCAATTTTCAGGGTTTTCGGATTTAATTCATTCCTTGGTTAAGTTCCGTGTGACATGGCGCAGTGATTATCTCACAGTTTGTGGCATCCAATCCTTAATGCACCATCAGAGATAGTAGGAACTGCAGATGCTGGAGAATCTGAGATAACAAGGTGTAGAGCTGGAAGAACCAGCAGGCCAAGCAGCATCAGAGGAGCAGGAAGGCTGACGTTTCGGGCCTAGACCCTTCATCAGAAATGGGGGAGGGGAAGGGGATTCTGAAATAAATAGGGAGAGTGGGGAGGCAGATAGAAGATGGATAGAGGAGAAGATAGGTGGAGAGGAAACAGACAGGTCAAAGAGGCGGGGATGGAGCCAGTAAAGGTGAGTGTAGGTGGGGAGTTAGGGAGGAGATAGGTCAGTCCAGGGAGGATGGACAGGTCAAGGGGGCGGGATGAGGTTAGTAGGTAGGAAATGGAGGTGGGGCTTGAGGTGGGAGGAGGGGATACGTGAGAGGAAGAACAGGTTAGGGAGGCGGGGACGAGCTGGGCTGGTTTTGGGATGTGGCAGGGAGAGGGGAGATTTTGAAGCTTGTGAAATCCACATTGATAACATTGGGCTGCAGGGTTCCCAAGCGGAATATGATTTGCTGTTCCTGCAACCTTCGGGTGGCATCGTTGTGGCATTGCATGAGGCCCAGGATGGACATGTCGTCTGAGGAATGGGAGGGGGAGTTGAAATGGTTCGTGACTGGGAGGTGCAGTTGTTTATTGCGAACCGAGCGTAGGTCTTCTGCAAAGCGGTCCCCAAGCCTCCGCTTGGTTTCCCTGAAGTAGAGGAGGCCACAACGGGTACAGCGGATGCAGTATACCATTGGGGAAACCACGTGGAGGCTTGGGGACCGCTTTGCTGAACACCTACGCTTGGTTCGCAATAAACAACTGCACCTCCCAGTCGCAAACCATTTCAACTCCCCCTCCCATTCCTCAGACGACATGTCCATCCTGGGTCTCCTGCAGTGCCACAACGATGCCACCCGAAGGTTGCAGGAACAGTAACTCATATTCCTGCAGCCCAATGGTATCAATGTGGATTTCACAAGCTTCAAAATCTCCCCTCCCCCTACTGCATCCCAAAACCAGCCCATCTCATCCCCGCCTCCCTAACCTCTTCTTCCTCCACCTATCCCCTCCTCCCTCCTAAAGCCCCCCCCCCATCTCCTACCTACTAACCTCATCCCACCCCCTTTACCTGTCCGTCCTCCCTGGACTGACCTATCTCCTCCCTACCTCCCCACCTACACTCACCT